CATGAAAAATAACTTAAAGGTTGTTTCATGCCTCCGCTAATATGTCGTGATACATATGGTGGTTCTGTATGCAGGAGTTGCCTTGATCCTCTAATAGACTTCAGAGTGTATTGACTGGTTGATGACTTGTTTGTCCTACGCATTTGCATAACCACGGGGTTATGATGTGGGTGTATGGGGCCCGGCAACTGACTAATGGGGACTGCTCGGAACTGTCTGAGCCCGTTTCACTTGGTCGGCTGAGTTAGGAGTGGTTAGAGTGACTGCTCAGCCTTAAACACTTAAAATGCGATCCAACGCAGTTTTAGTCAATCAGAAGGGCAGACGTAAGAGCCGAATTTCCAGAAATTTGATGAGCTATCTGCAAGAAGTGAACATTTCTGAGGCTTTCTTTTGGCATTCAACAACTTTTATATGATGCACATCCGTGAAGTCTTTTTGGATTTGAGAAAATAAAATCACATTTATTCACAGAGCATTGACGCCGAAAATCAGCTTTATGGGCAGATATCAGACATTGAAAGTGCCTATTTACCACATGGCACACTTTAGAACAGAAATTTACACTAATCGTGCTTTTAACAAATCAAAGTGGGGCTGCAGTCCGTCAATATCTGGAAGGTCCGCTTGGTTGCGGTGTTCGTCATTAATGGAGCACTTCACCCAATTATATGCTACAAATATGTCCAAATGGATATTGTCCTCATCAAACGCATTTTACTTGTCTTCATTCTGCGTTCATTCACAATGACATTTATTTGTAATTGATGTGAAGCGTTACATGCAAAAAGGTGGTCTTTGGAATAACTGCTCGAGACAGAAGAGTGTAGGGATTGTGCTTAACAGTGCCTTTGCAATGACTGTTTTCAAAATCCACTCTTTTAGAAGACTAGTGAAAGAATTAAACCAGCCTTGCAACTGAGAGGGCGCAAATGGTCCCCTGGAATGAGAACGAGGAAAAAGATGGGGAGGAAACAAATCCCGATTGTCCCATAAACTTTGATCATTTGCAAAATCCCACAATACACATTACAAGATGACCTTCTGGTTAAGAAATTGTTCGCTCCGCCTTTATTTAAAGAAAGATAAACCGTGTATTGTTGCAGCTGTTTTTTACCCATGGCGTTACATTTTGTAGGTTCTAAAATATTTCAACTTTTGGTCAAAAGTTTTTCAGCGGGTTCCGATAGATTCTGTCTCAATTTTTCATTGTAATTTTCTGATAGATGGCCATTTGTTGACACTTAATATTGTGCTTCCAATAGCTTTCTGTGATGTCAAACTACATGAGTTGACTCCAATGAGATCCCAGTTAATACCACAAAGCTTTGAATATTTATTGCTCCCCTCATAGTATAGCAGCTGCATAAGCTGCTGTAGAAGAAAATACCACCACAAATCTTCAAATAAATCACTTGACATTGACCCTAAATCCCCGGTTGATGATACGTAACGTGCAGGAGGAACTCCAGTCACTTTACACTAGACTGTCAAAAGAGAGCTTCTAGTAGTTTTTACGCAATGCCCACAACTGCAACATCTAAAAGGGAAGGCCGTGAAAGCTATTAGGTAAATAGATCTCAAGCGGAACGACTAACTTTAAGGATAGGTCATTTGCTTTTTGACTCTTCGTATGCATTTCTTGGGTTACTTATCCACTGACTGACTAACTGACTGGCTACGTAACGTCAGTCGAGAAGTAGTTTTGTACAGTTTGTTGGTAATCGATCGACTCACAGTCAAAGTCTCTCTTCAGCTCCGCATGTCACCACTTGCACATTGTGCGGTGAACTTCAAAAGCAATGACTTACTTGCTGCAGAAACCACACAGCTCTGATGGAGATCCTCACCTATCATCTGATATGAAAAGCCAGACCTTAGAATCACTTGAAAGAAAGTCATATTTTAGCCGGGACGAGACAAAACAAGATCTCATATCGCAAAACCCCACCCTTAAAAAACATTCCTTACCACCCTTCATGATGGGAGAAAGATACTGCCTCCTCTTGTACACGCCCTTGCAGATACCTCGCCAAAGGAAGGCTATTGCCTGATCTTGGCATTGAAAATCGAATTGATGCACTCAAAGCAGGCAGTTCATATGGAGATTAAACAAAGGTAGACTGGGCTAGGCTTGTAAAAGTTTTGCAAGGGTAAAAGTTCCGGGTATGCACTGCAGAAAGAAGGATGATGGACCCTAGCAACGGTACCTTTTCCATGAATAAAACACTTTTAGGTTAATTGTTTTGGTTTTCTAACACAAAACTCATGAACTTATTCGGCTTTTTACTCTTTAAAACTAGAAAAATTTATTTTTATTAAAACGGATAAGTCACTTTTACATAATTCAAAAATATTTAGGAATGTTTTTAAGAGAAGAAGGCTGTACTAGCGATTCTACCCCACCGAGTTCTTTTGAAAGAGAAAATTTTTACTATTTCTACATAGTAACAAAAGTAGCACCGCTATGAGCCCCATAAACGAAAAGTCATGCACCGAATCAAACATGGTGTTGATCTTGACAAAGCGATTACTGATCTAAAGCTATTCTTGTCTTTTAGAACTTTTTTTAATGCATCTTTACTTAGAATGGTCGAGAGCATGAGGCTACACTAGTGCCTTCTGTAAGACATAAAATATGACCTTTTGGTGCTTCTCTAGAAAAGGTATTTATAGATGCAGACTAATTCTACCTTCCCGATGTTACCGCTTATGGGGAGAAGGGTATCATTTTTCAGCCACAGGAGTGTCTTAAAGCAATAGGGTGGACCGTTCTGCTCTTTCTGCCCTAATAAACAAAAAAGGGTCTTAGAAAGGAATTACCTTTAAAACAGGCTACATACTCAACCAGTTTTCTTTTTGTTGGGGGAAAGTGGGATTTAATAGTAGCGTGGATAGTGAGTGGATGTTTATGGCGAAATTACGCAGTTGCCTTGTTGACTTACCGAATTTAAGAGTCCACGTGTTTCTCGATTTGCTAAAGCTATTTCATCTCCTCACTGAATAAGGCTTATGATCCCGTTAAAGGATAAGTTTTTCCATGAGGTATGTAATTATGGAGTATCTTAGAGAAATATTTGCCATTCAGTCGTAACTCCTTGCTCCCCTTCTCTTTACGCAGATTTACCGCTCAGTTGTTGGATCATCGTAATCAGAACAGTCGAACAGACATTGCATTTATAACTGTGCTTTCCATGAAAGTCTTGGAGGGAAGTCTACTACCGCAGATGTCACAGGATGTGTCCTATACGAGATCGGCTTTAGCAAATAGTCTCGTAACACTTTAAATTTGCTTACGTCGAAAGTATTGAACACCTATTTTGCTTTTTTTTGGTTTGTTTCGAAAAATAACTTCTGACAAATAGGTAAAGGGAGCGGCTCATGTATTAATAAAACTACTCAGATTCTAAAATTAGTACCTAATATGAATACGACATGGATAATGTGTTACTTAAGCAGCTGAGCGACATTCATATTCAGCAAAAAAAGTGTCAAATCTTAAAATGCTATTGCAAAGCATACATTCTTTTATTAAATGCAAAAGTAAATAATGCTTTATGTTTTCTCCCTGTTCATTTGATTGCAGCATATTTTGGCATTTTGCTCATAACGTGTTGTCTTCTTACCGATCCTGAGAATGAGTGCACTACACTTTATTAACTTATTAAAATCTTCCTCGTTTTCTAACACTTTCGGCCACCCATACACAAATAAAAACAAGATCTAAAAGTTACTTTTTAGCATAGAATTGCTTATTTTAGACTTTCTCGCCGATTTCAACTCCCTCACTCATTGCTGGCAATTTTGTCACAGTCTCCTGAAGAATGGGTTGTGCCAGACCATAGAACTTTGTTGCTAAGGCAGCTGGGGGCAAAAAAACTCCATGGAAAGATTTAACTGATTTATTGGAATATATACAGCATTCACTTTGCCACACTTCTTTAGGCGCAACCATGAATATTGCCCTTTCTAGCAGGCAGAATTGTCTACTTGTGGAAGGCCAAAATTTTGACCTCTCAACTACTTTAAACAAAAGAAATGTCTTATGTGTAAGACTTATTTGGAGTCTTAAATGACGACGCGATGCTTAGGAAAGAACCGTTGTCATACTTTGGAAGGAGAGGGAGATACTATCTCTCTTTCCGATCCCCCCTCTTCAAGCAACGATTCTCGCCTTTTCTCAACATTGGAAATCCTATGAACACACGACAAGTGGCTAGTGTATTTGGAGATAAAATTGATAAAAAATGAAGGGAGATAGAGCCAGGTATTTGTTTTAAAAAGCAACTGGCTTTTACTTTGTTTAAAATAGATTTTGATCTTGCAATGTTGAAGCTTTAATCACTATAGCAACCACGTGAAATTATCTAACCTTATGTTCTTGAAATGTTTGTGGTATATACTGGAAGACCTGCTACGACCGCGAAACTGACTAAAACTGAATGTATAGCAAACCTTGATTAATCCAAAGAAGCTGTTCACTTTCCATTGGATGCCTATGGGTCACGGATTTTTCTTCTTTTTAGTAAACTAAGAGACATTTTATTTACATAGGCACTTTATTTTCATCAAAAATAACGAAAATAGGAAATAAAAAGACAAAAGGTAATCAATGTATCCTTGCTTGTTCTTGTTTGTCCACTCTGGATTAGTACCTTCTAGGGCAACTTCCTCTACGTGCCGAAGGTCGCAGGCATCCACAACAGCGGCAAGTTAGGATTTCTGCAAACTCTTTCCGATAGTTCTCATTCAGGTAGCCATAGAGGAAGGGATTGACACAACACGAGAAGAGTACACATAGGAGACAGGCAGACTGAATGAGAGTGACATGACGTGCTCCCATAAAGGCTTTTTCCACCTCTTTAGCCCCGTCATTATTACTGCGGTCTGATGCTGTAAGACTGGCTGCTGTGTGTTCTTTGTAATCCATAAATATGTTTACCGCATGCAGGGGCAGCCAGGAGATTGCGAAGACTAATGAGACACAAGTCAACAGGATATTGGCACGTCGTTTACGCTTTAGCCGGAACTGTCGACGTTCTCCTTGCCGATTTTGATGCGATTGTTGCATCTTCAAAATCTTTTTGGCCCTACCTCTTCGCTTCTCTTCGTTTGTCTTCTGCAATAGCATAGAGACCGCGTTGATGTCTACTGATTGCCTTGGAAGTCCTTGCACATCTAAGCAACTTCTTGGGGGATGCGATTGCGTTGTGGCGCTTTCCACGGGGGTATCAGTAATTAAAACGGGGGGATTATTGTTGGGTGTGAGCGTTTGTTGGATATTTTTAGAGCGTACAATGGATAGTCTGCGAATACGTGTGCAGATTCGAATGTAGACAGCCACAAGGATGGCAAATGGAACCACACACTGACAGATGAGAGTAAAAATACCATAGGCATACTTGAAACGCTGAAGTTGAGGATTGCGCAGTGACGCTTCGACGCAAACCTTACGCGGCTTTGTGGTCTTGGTAAAAATGGGACCCGTAGAGACTGTTGAAAAAGCTAGCATTGGAGTGGCCATGAGGAATGCAAGCAACCACAGGCCTGGTAAAACGCAAAGGGGTCGATTCCATATCCTTTTCGAACGAAAGGGATGGATTATTACCTTAAAAAGAGAGAAAAGCTAAAAGGTTGGTTCATCTAAATTTTAACTTTATTTCCTTGTTTGTAGAGAGTAGAAATATTCCAGGGGCTCATTGCACTTATAGCTTCATTTGAAGGAATTCTAAAATGGTCTACTTTGACAGACGGTTCTGAAACTCATTTTAATTAATTATAAGTGATAAGATAGGAGTCGCATGCATTCACTCACTTCGGTTTTAATCTACTGATCACGCACGAACTGTCAACATCGAAAGCTACTCATCCTACTCTGCAAACACCTGTCAAAGCAACTTTTAATTTGATTTCTTAAAATTCACACATCAACGTACTAATCGGAAAATAGTTTTAGCAAGATAGTTCGTTTGGTTAAAATTATAAATTACATTCCCTAATTCTCAACATTTATTTAATGTGCTGCAATTTGTGTGTCCTTTTATGTGTTTTACACTATATGTGTTTACATCTGTTATTCATTAATTATCTTTATAGATCAAAACATTTTTCGCCAT